GAGTGTCTCCCTGGCTCATTGGGTGGTGGGAACCAACAGTCTGCGGGGTTAACTCGTGATGTGAGTAGGTCATGCGCCGCTTTGCTCCGTGTTGGATGTGTAGACTGGCTTGTCTGCGCTCAGCCGCTGCCTTGCTGCCCGTGCCGCTTGCTTCGCAGGTCCTCCTCGCTGCTCTGTTGACTTGCCGCCCATTCGCGGGCCATGCCTCCCGTGTCCTTTGCTCACGTGCATTGTGGTCTGGCAGCCTTGTGGTGGTGCCTTGGGCTTCACTGCACAGTTGTTGGGCTGCTTGTCCGTGTGCCCTGTCGGCCTTCAGTGTCCTTTGCTTGCATGCCTTGTGGTTTGGTTGCCTTGTTGGGGGTGGCTTGTGCTTCCTTTGCTTGCATGCCTTCTGGTTTGGTTGCCTTGTTGGTGCTGCATTCTGCTTCCTTTGCTTGCATGCCTTGTGGTTTGGTTGCCTTGTTGGTGGTGCCTTTTGCTTCACTGCACGGTTGCCGAGCTGCTCGTCCGCTCGTCTACTTGCCCTCTTGGCCTTCCGCGTCCTTTACTTGCTTGTGTGCCTTGTACTCCGGCCGCCTTGCTGATGGTGCTTTGCACTTCACCGCACGGTTGCCGAGCTGCTCGTCCGCTTGCCCCGTCTTTCCTTGCAGTCATCTTCGGTGATAAGCAGTTGGGCTGCCTCTACTGCATTGCCTGGTGCTCCGCAGGGTTGCTGCCCGCTGCTATGTCCCGCTTGGAGACTCTGCCTTCAAAATGGGTCAAAGGGATCATGACCCAAACCATCAATACAGGGACTCGACGGCCGCCGATCAGATTTATCAATGACAGCAGTCAGGAGGTCGAGAGGGGTACGAAACAATCTTGTTATCATCCATTTAATTTTTTTCGGTCTTCTGATTTTTTGGGGGACTTGTACTGCCTATTTCGTGTGCTTGCATGTTGTCTGCCCTCCCGCCTGCTTGGTGTGCTTGTGTGTCGTCTGCCCTTCCACCTCCCCTGTGCCCTCCAGCCTCTGTCCTTCGCTGTTGCTTGCCATCCCATGCCTTATCACGTCATATGCATTTTCATTGCCTGCTTGGTGTCGTTGTGTCATCTGCCCTCCCGCCTCCCCCATGCGCTCCATCCTATGTGGGACTTAGAGAACTGGTTGTGGTTAGCCAAGGATGTATGAGGTAGCTTCAGAGAAGTAAAGTGGCTGCAGTGGTTTGCCTGTTTGGTTTGTTTGTCTGACCTTAATAGGCTGGCAAGGTAGCATGGATGGGTGGGAGTTAAAACAGCATGCGATGGGCTATGGGTGGACCTGGTGTACCACTGAAAGAGTGGAGTAGCATGGCAGATGCACCGTGAGATCATTTCTCAAACACACACACACACACACACACACACACACACAGATTTGCAACAAACGCTGTCACTGATTAGACGAGTGAAAATAAAAATATATCTTTATGGATATACGTCAAGGAGCACCGCGGCCAATGAATGTAGCCAAACAGGACTGTGATGCAATGCAAGTCAGGGCATTGCAATGCCAACAGACTGGGGCCAATGGTGTGGGTTTCTTTCTGCCTGGGTTGGGTGTGCTGTTATTCAGGTCGGGTAGGTATGTAACAATTTGTGTGAGGTGAGGTGTAACGTGGCACTAACACTGGTGGGGGCGTTTTTGTATTAAAAAAAAAAAAAAAAAAAAAAAAAAAAAAAAAAAAAAAACGTGGCACTCTCCTGTACTGTAGGGAACTATACATTAGCATGTTGCAATATGCAGAGTACTATACGGTGCTGCCAGGTGCTATGCAGGTAGGGCAGGTGCGGTTGGGCATGGTACTATGTTGTGGTGTGGTACTATGTGGACTAGGTGAGGCGTAACGTGGCACTCTCCTGTACTGTAGGGAACTATACATTAGCATGTTGCAATATGCAGTACTATACGGTGCTGCCAGGTGCTATGCAGGTAGGGCAGGTGTGGTTGGGCATGGTACTATGTGGTGGTGCGGTACTATGTGGACTAGTGTGGTACTACGAGGTCTGAGTGTGCTGCTCTGTGGACAGGGTGTCATAGTACGCCATCCAGTGTGGCTCTGGCATGTTCCTTTTTTATGGCCCGGGACTCCAGGAGTGTTTTTTTCTTTTTTTCTTTTTTTGGCCTCGCCGAGTTCCGTGTCCTACACTTTCCCCCCTCCTCTTCTCTGTGCACCAAAGCAAAACAAAAGAAAACAGGTCTTACACCCAAAGGAAAATTTAGAAATGTAGTCCACCTCCCAATTTCAGACCATGGGGCATTCCACATGTATGTGGATTGCATCGTGGCCGAGGCACCCAGACAAAAAAAACAAGGAAAAAAAATGAAGAAAAAAGAAAACAAAACATGGTTAACAGAACTTAAGACACAACTCGGCCCTCAACACTTCCCAATTTCGGACGGTTGGGCATTCCATATGTACGTGGACATAGTCGTGGGCGATGCACCCTAAAACAAGGAAAAAAAAGACATGGCCAAACTTAGACACACCTCGGCCCTCAGCACAGTTAGGTGGGTCCTTTGCAGGCCAGGCAGTATCATGTGGCGTGGGTGCCACTATGTCGGCCCGACAGTATCATGTCGAGTGGGCAGTACTATGTGAATGGGTCATGCCATGTGCAGTGGATGGTATACCCAAAGTTGGGCACAACTCGGCCCTTGAGACGGTCACGTGGTACTATTTGGGCCTGGCGGTATCATGTGGGGGGCGTGCCGCCATGTGGGCCGGACGGTATCATGTGGACAGCGCAGTACCATCCGGGCTGGGTCATACCATAAACAGAGCCATACAGTGAAAGTCCGACAAAATAGTCCGTCCGGCACAGTCGTGCTTTTTGGTGGAGTTGTGTATAGTGAGCATAACAACATAGAACACAGCCTTGCCAATCAGTCAAATGCATCCTAGGCCAGACTCTGTCCAGGTTCAACCTACTTTTCTCAGGGATATAGCTAACTATGGCCTACATGGCGAGTCCTTGTCCATCAGTCAAATGCATCCTGGGCAGACTGTCTGTCCAGGTTCAACCTACTGATGAGCTGGAGAAAGTCCGACAGAACAGTCTGGCAGCGCTATGCTTTTTTTTTTTTTTTGTAGATGTATGCAGTGCAGATGGCAACAGACAGCCACAAAAGAGAAATCGCAGACGCATAGGCGCAACTCGATGCACATGGGGCCAGATCTGATGAAGAAAAGAAAAAACTCCGTAGCTACCATCTTCCCCCCAATACACCGTACGGTCACTATAGCTGTATTTGTGGCATATTTCAGTCTAACCATACAGCTATAATGACTGTACGTTGTATTCGGGGGAAGAAGGTTCGTCTTATAAGCCAAGGCCTGCAGTTCGCTTCCACACAGCAAGCGAAGGGGGGGGGCAAGGAAGCATGATCCGCGGTACTGGAGATGGAGACCTGCTCGCATATGTCATCTAGCAGAAAGATGCAGAAGTCGACTTCTGATGGCGGCTTGAACACACAGCGAGGAGACGGATACGAGCGAGGGCTGGGGAAGAATGGGCGCGGAAGAGGGGCTTCTGAGTGTTTGGTGGGGCAATGGGGCTTGGGCAGCGGACGAGGAGTGGGGAGGGAAATAGACGTGGGTATTGGGTTGTGTGGCGTGTGATCGTGTGTGGAAACAGTGTGGCCAATTTGTTAGGCGCCAATGTGCGGACATTGAAAGTGCGCACCATGTGTATGGAGAATTTTCCTTCCTGTGTGGATGGTAATAAGACAAGACAAAAGTGGGGTATTGTCATGGCAATGTGTTTGTGTTCCTTTTTTTTTGTGGGTGTCCATGTTAGTACCATCCAGTCCACATTGCTCGGCCGACGCCGCACAGTGCTAGAAGGACCATTAGTGTGTTTTTTTTTGTTTTTTTTTTCCCAATTGAATCGTACTAGCCAAGCCACATGACGTCAACCCACATGACATCAACGCACGTGGGATCAACCTAAGTGACATCAACCCACGTGAAATCACACAGGCCATATAATACCAACCAGCCCACAAAGTGCTACCGTGGGTACAGTCAGGAGAGACCCTCTACACACAGAAGGCCTAGCACGAGCAGAGAATCAGATGGGCTGCAAACCAGTTCACCAATGAGGACATCAACAATCATCTAATGATTCCCCGATGCTTCTCCTTCATGCGAGCTCTGCATCTTGCCTCTCTCTCTCTCTCTCTCTCTCTCTCTCTCTCTCTCTCTCTCTCTCTCTCTCTCTCTCT